GAGGTGCAGGGGGGCTGGAAGTTCACTCCGGAGATGCTCGACGACTCGGAACTGCCGGAGATGGACTCGAAGAGGAAACGCTGAAGCATCTCGACGACCAGGATCTCAAGATGTTCTACGAGAGCCACGACAAGGTCCTGGACGAGATCTACCAGACCATCGCCGAGGACCTGACGGAGCTCGGCAGGCCCTACCGCATCGACCTGATGGAGGTGTGCTGTCCGGAGGACTCGAGCCTCAGCAAGGCCGTGCAGGACCAGGGAGGCAAAGTGTTCAGGTGCGGCCTCTTCAATGGGATCGACATGGGAACGGCAACCGGGCTTCGACGCGCGCTTCACCTTCTCCGACGACTCCGACCGCGCCGCTTGGTTCTCAGCCCGCCATGTACAGCAGACTGCCCGATCCAGAATCTCAACCAGAAGACAGCTCAGCAGAAGGCCACGTATCTGGCGAAGGTGCGCAAGGCCCGACGGATCCAGCGGAACTGCAAGAGCCTCTGGGAAGACTCGAAGAAGATTCACGACTGCCACACCGAGCTCGAACAGCCAGCCTCCAGCCGAAGCTGGACCAGGTCGCCCTCGATCAAGGCGATGCGCGACCAGATGCACGAGACGATCATCCATGGCTGTGCGCATGGACTTCGCGAAGCTCGTTCCGGCCTGCTGATGAGGAAGGCATGGCGCATATGCTCGACAGACCCGGAGTTCGGCGCTAAGCTCGGCAGGACGTGCTCCAACCGCCCTGGCAGGGGCGACAACCACACACACCGCCCCATCGAGGACGGACAGGTGGTGGCCCAGACGGCCTTTTACCCACCAGCACTGTGTAAGGCCTGGGCAAAGCATATCCTGAAGACGAACACCAGCGCGAGGTACGGCAAGGAGATCTTCACCAGCTTGGAACAGATCCCAGAGGACGCTGAAGAGGAGATGGAGGAGGCCCTCGACGAGGACCTCTTGCAGGATAACCCCGAGGCCATGGACGACGAGTCGGTCATGAAGGGCCTGGGCATCTCCGAGACACCGACCAAGAAGGAGGAGCTGGAGATAGAGCAACGGCTGACGCGGCTCCACCGCAACCTCGGCCACCCGAGCAACAAGACGCTGTACAAGATCCTCAAGGCATCGGGAGCACCTCTCCAGGTCCTACGAGCAGCTCTTCGCCTCCAGTGTCACGCATGCCATGCGGGACAACTACCAAAAGCCGTCAGGGTCGCCTCGGGCATCGAGTTGCCAGGCGTCCTAGAGGTGCTGGCCTCCGACGGGCTCGAGTGGCTCTCGCCGAAGCAGGACTCTTTCCTGATGACGTTGAACATCGACGAGGGATCCGGGCTCACCAGTGTCACCTATCATGGACAGAAGGGAGAGCGCAATGGCAACAGATCGACTCAGGAGGTGATTTCAACATGGAATGACTGGTGCGGACATTACCGCCGCCCCAGCCTTCTCCGTCTGGACCCCGAAGGTTGTCATCGTTCACAAGCAGTGGCCAGGTGGTGTTCGGACCGCGGCATCGAGCTGTGGATTGCCCCGGGCGAGGCCCACTGGCTGATGGGCAAGGTCGAGAGGCGCATCCAGCTTTTCAAGCGACTGATGACGAAGCTGGCAACGCTGGACCCCGACTGCCCGGTCGAGGAGTTGGTGTCCTGGGCCGTGAGCGCGATCAACAGCATGGACGAGGTCGGCAACCACTCCCCGTTCGAGCACGTGATGAGCGTCTCTGGGATGCCGGCCTCGAGCAACCCGTTCGCCATCATTGACGGGGACACCGGGGAGACTCAGGAGCAGAGGCGCCTCCTCGCGCGCAAAAGCTTCCTGGAGGTAGAGTATGCTGAGCGTCGTCGACACGCCGAACAGGCCCGCAACCGGGTCTATCAGACCTGGAATCCGGGGGACCTCGTCTACTTCTGGCGCAAAGGGAAAGGCCTTGACCCTCGCCCTGGGAAGAAGGGCGGATGGCACGGCCCTGCTCGTGTCCTTGCTCAGGAAAAACGACACGTGGACGGGCGCACCCGTCCTGCCTCGGTCATCTGGATCTCCCACGGGAGCGTGCTCATCAGGTGCGCCCCGGAGCAGCTGCGCGTCGCCTCGGAGGCAGAGAAGATGATCGTCGAATTGCAGCGGCAGAGCAACCTTGGCAAGACCATGACGGAGATCTTGGAGACAGCCAAGGGCGGTACCTATGAAGACCTTCTCGGACAAAATCCTCCAGACCTCCGAGAATACGAGCCTCCACCGCAGCCGACGATGGCGATCCCCGCGACCGAGGGCCAGACTCTCGAGAACAACAGCGAGGCGGGACTCCCCTCAGGCGCCGACAACGACACACCCGGCGCTCCTGATTCCTCCAGGCCACCAACACCAAGCTCAGCGACGCAACCTGAAGTGGAACCGAGTGAACCAGATGTCCGACGGTCCCGGTCACCACCGGCTCGTGCAGCTGACCGGTCAGCAGCCCCATCACGAACGCCAGGGAAAGCATCTACCTCAGCGGCAGTCAGGACGGAGTCTCGAACAGCATCGCGTCCGCCTCCCGCGACCTCGACCTCATCGGCGGCCGGTGCCGCATCCCGAGGCGAGTCGAGACCTCGATGGCGCATGACACACCGCGGACCAGAGCTCGATCTGCACGCACCGCCGGAGAAGCGACAGAAAGGCGCAGACGAGGAGATGGCCGACGCGCTGTTCGACAGCAACCACCTGGTCGACCTCTTCAAGGACAAGCTGGACATCACCCTCGGCATCGACGAACAGCAGACCGTCTACTTCGAGTACCTGCAGGACGAGAATACCACTCCAGACGGACGCCGAGGTTCGATGAGCCACATCCTGGACAGCTTCGTCGTCAACCAGCGCCGGAAGGACAAGGTGGAGCTGACCTGGTCCAAGATGAACGCCACCGAGCGTAAGGAGTTCGAGGCAGCCATCGCCAAGGAGACGAACAACTGGGTCCAGCATCAGGGACTTCGCGCTGTCCCGATATCTCGGGTCAAGGACGCGGCGGACGTCATCCGGGCAAGGTGGCTCTTCACCCGCAAGTCCGATGGGAAGGCGAAGGCCCGGCTCGTCCTCCTCGGCTACCAGACGAAGGACCTAGGACAGGAGCCGACAGCCAGCCCCACCGCGTCTCGGCGCGCCCGTCACGTGATGCTAACAGTGGCCGCCGCGAACCGCTGGAAAATCATCAAGGGCGACGTCACCTCCGCCTTTCTGCAGGCCCACGACCTCGACAAGGACCTCTTCATCGAGCCAGACGCCGTCCTCAGAAAGGCCTTCCACGTGCAGGAAGGGGAAATCCTCCAGGTCGTGAAACCTGGATATGGGATCGGCGAGGCGCCCCGGCACTGGTGGGAGACGGTCAAGCACGACTTTGCGAAACTTCGACTCCAAGCCTGCGAGTTGGAGCCCTGCCTCTGGAAAGCACGATGTTCCAGGACGGGTATGCTCGTCGGTATGATCATGGCCCACGTCGACGACTTCATCATGGCAGGAGATACCTCCCACCCTGAGTGGCAGGACATGGTCAAGCAGATCCGAGGGCTATACAAGTGGGGCACCTGGGAGGACATGAATGACGGGCTCACCTCTCTCGAACAGTGCGGCGTCACCATCGAGGAGAGCGAGCAGGGCTTCTTCCTCCACCAGAAGACGTACATCGACAAGATCAAGGAGGTCAAGGCGGCCAGCGGCAGTAAGCATCGGACCACCGACAGCCTCAAGGACTCTGACAAGACGGTGCTCAGGGCGTTCTGCGGCGAGATCTACTGGCTTGGCGTGAATACCATGCCATTTCTCTTATCGTGGGTAGCCGATCTCCAGATGAAGATACCAGCAGGTACTCACAACCTCTTCACGGCCGCTAACAACATCGTCAAGCTCGTCAAGCAGAGCCGCCACATGGGGATCAGGATCTACCGGCACGCCCTGGACGACCTCGCCATCTTCACCTGGTGCGACGCAGCCTGGGCCAGCCGCCCGGATGGACACTCCCAGGGCGGTCATATCACCGCTATCTCCTCCAAGGCGGCCATGGACGGGAAGCTCTCCGAGTTCACGGTCCTCGACTGGGGCTCCAAGAAGCTGCGCCGCGTGGCTCGGTCAAGCCTGGCGGCGGAGGTGCAGGAAGCCGGCGACGCCGAAGGCGAACAGAGCATGGTGCGACTGGTACTTGCCGAACTTCTACACAATGTCTCCACTGCAAGATACCGCAGCAGCACTACGACGATTACCAGCCATCCTGGTGACGGACTGCAGGGCCTTCT